CCCCACCTGGGATAACATAACAATGGGCTGGCAACTTCTTAGCCAGAACCCGGGATACCACAGCAATAGCCTAGCTACATCTAAACAACCCCCTGGATACCACAGCAACATCCTAGCAACACTTTAGCAACCACCTGGAAAACCACAGCAATGGCCCAGCAACACTTGGGATTTCATAGCAATGGCCAACATAAAGCTTATTCATGAACTTTCCCCTTCTAGTTTGTTACTAGTCTCTTGCTGGTCTTTACCTCAAACTGTCCGCTTTTGGCAGCAGATCTTTTAGAGTCATGGTCCCTAAATTATGAAACATGCTTCTCTATGCCTCTGTCTCTCTTCTTCTATACTCCTCCCTCAATACCTTCAAAGTACAGATCAAAATCCTCATCCAGTTTTTCCACCCTCATCCATTTTTTTCTTCTTTGACAAGACAGTCTATGACTGTGCATACTTGATTTTGTTTCCTTGCTTTCTATCACGTCTTATGATTATGTACAGTTTGTTTCCCGGTTTTGTTGTTGAATTTCCTCTTCAAACCCAGCAGTGTGCTGGCCAGGGTATGAAGCACTATGGAGAGTGTCTTACCAGAGGCCCTAAATATATCCCTAAAAATATCAATATTTGTTCCACTCAGTAGTCTCACTTGGAGTAGGAGTGTTTCCCAAATTTCTAGACCCTATGCAAATACTGTGTGGGCCCCCTTCTCAAATTTGAATTTGTACCCCAAAACAAATGTTTAAGTCTAAGCCGACGGAAGGTACCCTCAAATAAGAGTAATTATTTCCATTATTTCCACAGTTGTGATACTCCTGCTCAGAGCAATATTCTGCAAGAACATGCCCACATTACTTTAGTTTTTGCAGTATTTAAGCTGACATCAGTGTGTCCCCACCATTAACATCCAACAGCTAAGCCTGCTCAGCAGGGTTGCAGCCTATTTGCTCTATAGAGAAAAAGATTATGCAGTCCTGCAGCATGTTTCTTGGATTTAGGACAATGTGCATGGTTGACCCCTTCTGGATAGAAAAAGGCATGTTTTCTGTAGCATCTGACCGTCTGATTGTTGCAAAAGCTGAAATATACGAGGTTCGCACTTTCAGGCATTTCTGTTTTCCATATTGTCAATGTACTACATGGCCCATACTGACAAACTGGGGGTTGCTAATTAGCTCAGTATCTCTAGTTACATTAGAGAAAACCTCACTCAAAGTACTGTGGAGTAGTGATGCTCTAAAGACAGCACAGAATTTCATCCCACCAGCAGCACAGCAGGTCTGGGCTTAGAAGCTATTCCATTTTCTGCCGATTCTTTTTGTATCTCCCTCCATACTCATAAGTAAAACAGAGAAAATAGAAGGGGTATGGTGCATTTTAGTTGGGTTTTCTCAGGCTCTTCCCTTGTAGGGGACTGTGAGTGCAGACTCTTTTAGCTAAAGGATGTCCATCTCATTCTCATCATGTACTTTCAAAATCTTTGGCAACTAAACACAACATGGTCACACACACATTGCTTCATCGACAATACAAATACAGTGAAACGTGCGTGACTACACCACAGAAACATAATTTACATCAACATTTAGCATCAAATCAAGGCAAAATACTAAAAATTCACTTCAACATGCTTTATTGTCTCTTGTTTAGACCTTCTTAGTGCCAGTAGCAATAGGCCTCATTCACCAACACCTGTAAGTATTTTTCTTTAATTGTTCTTGAGAAAGGTCCTAAGAAAAGTGTACATCAGTTTCATGACGTGTTCTTAAACTGCAGGCCTGTTCACACCTTTTTGCTCTTGAGTGTGTGTAGATACTGTTCTTACCTAAGAACAAATCCCCAAGAAGAAAACATTAGTGAATGTCAGAATCTTCATGAAAGCTGCATAAATGGGTTTTAAGAAGAAACTTCTTCTTCAGAATGAGGCCCTTTGGTTTGAAGAACATATATCCCCCACAGTGACAGCCATTTAGGCTAAATTACAGCCTCCACAAGGCAGGGTTAGTGTTGTTACAACTGAGCTCCATTTCCCCCTCATATAAATTGAAAACTTTCTGGAATGTTTATTCACAGATGGAAAGCTTGACTGTTCAAACAACATAGAAATATATTTATTGTGTTTGCATCGTTTTACCACACTTTTTGACAAATGTTACAGCTAGCCCCTTAATCTGTTACAACAAACTCTATGGGGTAAGTTGTAACATTTGCGCTCATCCTGCTTTTGGCGGATTTTTAAAAATATTAGGTGCCTGAAACAGTTTTTATATGTTCATTCAGAGCAAAAATTTGTATGTTGCTTGCATAAAAAAGACTCATCTTGCTCAAATATTTTTCAAGTTATTTGCCAAAAAAGGAAACATGCCTCGCTCTCGCCAACCTGACTTTTCCCACAGACTATGACCTTCCTAAAGGCTAGGCTCCCATTTCATGGAGAAGATGAAGAGTGACTTTATGTTGAGTATGTGTTCTTCCTGCACAGCTCCTTCGTTCTCCTCAACTATAGATGAAAAAGAATATTGCCTTGTTAACTGCCAGGTTCCGGGGCAAGGGTGGATAAGGCAGTCACCCTTTACATCAGCACAACTCTGCTCTGCTCTTTTCCTTTCAGAATGCTTTGGGTCTGACAAGCAATGACAGCTTCTTCAGGCAGTTGGTGGGCACTCAGCATGAAGTTAGGGTAGATACTAGATATCTGAGGGGGGGCCTAGGTGCCATAATGTGAACTCTACTGAAGCAACAGAGCCAAACAAGAGTAGTAGAGCAAGGAAGAGGAGATAACCAGAGTTGGACCTTCTTTTGGCATGTTTGTTTTAAAGTGGTTTTGACTCGGCTCAAACAAAGTGTGACACTGAGCTCTTTCGTTTCTCTTTCTGTTTCTCATGGGTAACATAAACTGTAAGAAGTTACACATTATTTATGTGCTTGTTTGTTTGTTTGTTTGTTTGCTTGTTTATTGCTGAGCCATCATCCATCACAATTTGAAGGACACATGCCACTCCAGATAAGAGTGTCTGCTAATGTAAATGTAAATGTAAAATACACTTGTGTGCAAAAATTTCGTTTTGCTCAAATGACGTTTTGTTAATTTTCTAAGTGAAATTAAATTAACACACCCTCTACAGAGAACATACTTCTACACATTTACACAGTTGTACAGTTACTCTTAATTTGCTGAATCTAACATATTGAGAAAAATAAAGCAGAAAGCGTGTGCAAACATTATGATACATTTTGTGATGTATGTTTCAGTTTTTCCAATATGTTAATCTCAGCAAATAAATAGAAATTGTGCACTAACATTTGCTGAAAAGGTTTGTGCTTTGTAGACGATGAGTAAACTTATTTTTACTTCAACAAAGTAATTTGACCATATGACTGTACTTTATTACAAATATTTTAGTTTTTGTCATATTTAGCCTATATATTGTTATTTATACAAATCATTCACATGCCCTCCCTCTTCCTCACTCTTGCTCTGAGTATGTTTTCTTGTTCATGTTGGTTACCATTCCCTACAGTTACTCATTTACTATCACAGTTACTATTCACTATATTTTATAGATGCAGGTGTCCATTTTACTATGTGACACAGTGTTTCCCCATTGATGGCAAGTGAAATGTAGATATCCTTCATACCATGGAAAACACTGAGAGCTGTTTTGTTTCCGATTACTTTTACAGGAGTCGATAACCAGTCCTAGTGCTCTTCAGGCTGTTTCATGTGCCACATAGCCAACAGCAGTGTGAAAATGCAGGTGCAATGTGATGCATCATTCCGATAATTCGACTGCATTGATTTTGGAATGTTTCAAATTCAATATTTCTCATCTACATATCTGCTGATGCTGAAACACACACATAAACATTTATAAAGGGTAGAAATTTAGATTAGCATTAGTTGTGCCTAAAGGATCTGTAAAAGCGAGACCTGATACTTCAACAGAGTAGAAGATGCCAAATATGAAATGTTAGTCACCTGAACAAATAAAAAGTTGCATCATTATTGTCAGCAATGTTTGGCAATCTGTCTCTTTCTGTGTCATCTGAGGTAAGATATAAATAGAAAACAATTCCACCTCTGCTGTGGCAGTATGCTTTAGTATGCATAGGATGCTTGACAGTTTGGGTTTGCTTTTTTTTTCATCTTTATTATGTAAATTTTAGCTGGCCAACTTTAAGTGATGTGTTTACTGGGGATAAATGTTTGTTTGTCTATTTGTACTGTTTTGTCTCGATTTAAAAAATTTGTGCTTACATCTGTGATGTGCCCAACACTGTGGTTAGTATGCTGCCATCACAGTCCTGCATAGCCTTCATGCAACTTGCTGTAATATCATAAAATATTCTGACCATGAAAAAAATAGCTAGGTTGGGGTTTACCAAAAATGTATGCCAAGGGGCCTATAACCTGAGCATCACGGACAAATATAACTATTTCTGTAAGGTTATATATACAGTAAAATTAATGAAATGCAGATATTTTAGCAGCCCAGTGTTGCCTAAACATTCTGCTCCTCTAACATGCATTAAATATCAGTTTGAAATATTGTTCAAATTTAAACATCTGGCCAATGCAGGTAATTTTTTTAAGCAATTATCTACTGATACCTATATGATTCTGACATCTCAACCCAATAAGAAAAGTATGCCCTTATTTTTGGCCCAAATAAAATACAAAATGTAAAAGTCCAAGAAAAAAAAGCTTAGTGTTTTGTTTATAATGTCCACTATTGTGTGACTAGTTCCTCCAGTCACATTTGTGAACTCAATATATTTTCCTGAAATGTCATGTTCTGTTTAGGTTTTGATTACAAACTGAATAAATGTGAATCGAGAAATTTATACCTGCTTCTAATAGCGAGGTTCTGGTTGTAGGTCACTCTGTTACCTTTAAAAGATCCTGTGGTTTTAACACACAAAACATTTAAAAAAAGAGTGTCTACCATATCGGATCATGAAGAATTTATTGAAGATAATCATATAAGATTCAGTGAACATGGAATACAGACATAATTCTTGTTATTTTGCAGTCGGAAAACATTGTGAACAAGACTCTGACAGACTGGTGTTTGACACCATCACACAGCAGGTGTGTGTTTTCTCTGTAATGGTCTCAGTGCTTTTGTGTCAGTGTTTGAAGAGAAATGGAGAAACACTGCACATGATGATTGGATTCTCTTCAAGATGGTCCACCATGATAACCCAGTAACACGGTGAAATCATTCTCATTCTCCTCAATCACTCTCTCTTCTTTCTCCAATCGCTTTTCCTTCTCACACACTATGAACCATCACTCCACTCACACTCCATCTGACCCCTGAAATGTCTGTCACACAATTTCAGAGCATTATTAGACCCGTGTAAACCACCAGAAAACATGGACAGAATACAGACCTGTACTGAACCATTTTATGTTCTTCAGGGCCATCCATCTGTGTCACAGCTGGCTGAAAAGGAGAAAATCATTTATACTATAAGATCCTCAAGGGTTAGTAAAGTAAATACAGTTAGTAAAGACCGGGGTTCTATGTAGAATCATGAACACTCAAAGAACTGTTTGCATGGTTAAAGGGATCTTTGCATCATGAAATTGTTTTTCAGATTGATGGAGAATGTGTGGTGTATGGTTCTATACAGAACCTTCTTAAAAAAGATTCTATATAGCACCAAAAAGGGTTCTGTTATTGTTATGATGACAAGCTGCCAAGAAATCAAGAAAGAACCCACCCCTCACTAGCACAGTTTATATTTCATTGTTTATGGCTGGTGATTATTTTTGCTAGTCCAATTTACTAATCTAGGATCAGAGAGGTGGCTGAGCACAAATCCAAGACAATATTTATTTGGCACACAGTCAGGAGTGGAGATTACTTGATTAATTGTACTTTGTTACTGTACATAAATATTATTTTATAACATTTGTACTTTACTGTTTGTGATACTGAAATTAAAAACTTTACTATTTCTATGGAAAAAAAATCATGCTTTTTACTACTAGCATTTTGATTTATAACCTTCAAAAAACTCATAACAAATCTTAAAGGCCAGAAGATTTCTATGGGGTTACAAATGCAACTCTGCTGCCAACTGGTGAGTTCCCAGTGTAAAATGAAACTGCCCACAACTGTGCTAATTTGACTTTGTGTGAGGACTAGTTCTACTGATCAGCCACACCACACCCCCATATGCTTATTTTTTACTTATTCTAAACTTGAGTATGTTTAAATGTTGATACATTTTAACTTCCACTCAAGTATATTTTTGGATCCATACTTTTAATTGAGTAAAATTTTGACACAGTGTTCATACTTTTTTTGCAATATTTGCACCCCTGCTTAATGTACATACCAGTCCATAAAAGTTAGAGAAATTAGAGCCAAGTATGTTTAATCCTAGCTGCCATCCACTTTTTAATTCATACAAATATTTTAAAGAGTAATACTGCATTAAAGCCAGAGCACACCAATTCAACATTCTCCAATATCAACAAACCCAAACATTTGGAAAATTGTTTGGTAGAGGAAAGATAATGGCCTTCAGCTGTTTTTCAGATTTTGTGCTCAGTCCCTTAGTTCCAGTGAAGAGTAATGTTAATGCTACAGCATACAAAGACATTTTAGACAGTTATATGCTTCCAACTTTCTGGCAACAGTTTAGGGTAGGCCCTTTCCTGTTCCAGCATGACTGTGCTCCTGTGTACATAGTGAGCTCCATAAAGACATGGTGTGATGAGTTTGTTGTGGAGGAACTCCAGTGGCCTTTACAGAGCCCTGACCTCAACCCCCTGAACACCTCTGAGATGAATTGAAACATTGATTGTGAGCCAGGACTTCTTGTCCAACATCAGTGCCTGACCTCACAAATGCTCATTTGATTGAATGGGCACAAATTCCCACAGACACTACTAATAACCCACTGTACACTGTTTCTGTACAGTACAGGCAGAGACTATTGTTAATTTACTTTAATTTCCAGTCAAGACATCCATTATGTACAAGTTATTCATTTTTCAGGAGATTAGATATAAGATAATCTACTAGCATAAGGAATGGGAAGGTCAACAGAAAATAAGTGAAAAAACAGGAGTTTAAAAAAACGGAGTTCAAAAAAGATATAAAGGAAAAAGCACAGCACTCTGCTGTGCACCACCTGAGAGACCACCAAAACTGTCACCATCAGATAAACAGTACTTAAAGCTTTCATCTTTTGAGAGAGAGGAGAAAATCAAGCTCCACTCCTGTTTCAGATCTGAAAAATCCACAGCTGTTTCTGTGCATCCTTCCACTGTGAGAAGAATTCAACTCCATGAGTCTGAAATGTTGTGTAGCTCTTAAGAAGTCGTTACTGAGAGAAGCTGCTGGTGTTCTCAGAACAATGGACTGTCCACTCCAGGGTCCAGACCTTAACATCAGTGTCTGTGATCACTTGAATCACAAGAAGCAGAAAATGCAACCACTGAACTTTAAAGGTATGGAAAAATATCTCTGCAGATTTCCTTGAAAAACTGAAAGCAAGTCATCTGAAAAGAATGGAAGCAGAGTAAAGTCGAGTGGACTCACTAAATTTTGAAAAAGTTTTGATTTACTTCTTGAAACTTTTGTGTAATTTCTGTTAGATTGTGTATGTGTGAGTGTGTACATGTGTGTGGTGTTTGCACCTGCAGTCACTCTCAGGGCCCGTCATTCCCCAGCGCATGTATATTGTATTAGAGCAATTTGGGGCTTTCATTCATCATGCATTCATCTGTTTATTCATCCATGGTCCAGCCATCCATCCGTTATTTCGCCCCTCACTCCTTAAGTCTACCAGTCATGAAGTCATTTACTTATTTGTTAATTCATTTTTCCACCCCTGGATTTTTACAAAGTGCTTTACACTGAGAAACAAAGTGCAGTATATAGAGGGGTAAAAAGGGAAATAAAAATAACAATAATATTAAGTAAAATATGAAGAGAAAAATACTGATGCATAAAATACAATAAATTATGACTGAAAAATAAAGCTTAGCCACATTACTGGGATGAGCAGCAGATTGCTGTTTGATGACCTTAATTTTTAATTCTTAAGTCTATCTGAAGTACAAGCTCTGAACCAAGCTTACCTCTAAAGTATTCTACCTATCATCATTCTCTCCCACAGAACCCATATGTCCAAATCTGTGCATTCCTCCAATGTCAGAGAGAGACAGTGTGAACTCTACTGTGGAAATGAGGGCAGGGCCAAAACTGATTTCTGTATATGATCTTTGAAAAGCTCTTGAATATGTCTTCATTTTTTCACATGATGACAGAAGGACATGCTAATCTACAAATTTCCTTTTTCTGAATATTTCACATTCAGCAAATAAACATTAACTGTGCATGAAATGTGCAGAAGTGTGTTCTCTGTAGAGGATGTGTGCTTAGATGTGGAGTTTATTAACTGGTTTTGCTGTTATTTTTAATGATTTAGTGTGTAAAGAGAGTAATTAGCAGCTGAATATCTGACAAGACTGGAAATAATAAATTAATGCTATGTGTCTTCATAATATCATGCAGCACTGCCACCTAGAGGTCACAGCACACCTGAGCAACTTGCCTCTGTTAAATGGTGGAATTTCTGATCACTAGTCTAGCCACATTTAAGTATTTAAACATGGTTTGAATTAAAGCGGAAATCAAACTGTTTTTACCTTATTTACTTTGTATTGTATTATTATGCAGAACCAGCCAGAATCCTGTGACTAACAACACATCTTCAGACAGCAAGAAAAAAAGACATACCACCTCAAGCTGTGCACTTCCTCTGCTGATCACAAGGTGGTGCAGATAGGGGAGAATTACACTGCAGTCATATGACTGTAGAGTATTATCTTTTGTAGCAGGAATGAAGGCCTATCATTTTTATCTAATAAACTGAACAGTTTTGGAGTCACTGATAAGTGTGGTATGCTCTGAGACATATTAGATGTATTTTTGGTAACTCCCTGGAAAACTATATTTGGATTTTTTAAACGTTCTACATATATTAGCTATATACACCGATCAGGCATAATATTATGACCACCTCCTTGTTTCTACGCTCATTGTCCATTTTATCAGCTCCACTTACTATATAGGTGCACTTTGTCGTTCTACAGTTACAGACTGTAGTCCATCTGTTTCTCTGCATTCTCTGCATACTCTGCCCCCTTTTAGCCTGTTCTTCAGTGGTCAGGACCCCTATGGACCTCACAGAGCAGGTACTATTTGGGTGGTGGATCATTCTCAGCACTGCAGTAACACTGATGTGGTGGTGGTGTGTTAGTGTGTGTTGCGCTGGTCTGAGTGGATCAGACACAGCAGTGCTGCTGGAGTTTTTATGCAGCTTTTATGTTATGCCTGATCGGTGTACATGCACATATATATATATATATATATACACCAAGTTAAATGAGGTTTTACTGGTCTCATAGATCTCATGTTAACCTCTCTCTCTCTCATGTGAAACTGAACTAAAAGTGCATCAAACTGACCCACTTTATAAGTAAAAGAAAGATACAGATGATTCTGAGGAAAAGGAGGGGGGGGAAGTGAGAGAGTGGCAGGAGAAAAATGAAAGAGAGACATAGAGACAGGGAGGTATAATCATAGAGAAAGAGAGGGGGAGGGGAGAGCAGGAAGTGAGCTAGAGCGCTAGTCTCCCCAGAGAGAGAGCATTGCATAATGAAGCACCAATCTCTTACTGTAGACAGCGCAGATACCACTGTATTCATGCATTCCCTCAGAATACAGAGGGCCACACCATTAGGTTCAGAGAGTGAACAAATGCACGTAGTATGCCAAGACATTTATAGTCACAATTATTTATGCCATACTGATATGTGGCTGTAAGCCAACAACAGACCAATGTGTTTGGATACACCTATAAAACTGTTAATGACAATAATTCAACAATGAGTACAGTGGACAATGTAAATATGCCAAGTGGATGTTTCTCTAACAGCTTTATAGGAGATTAAAATATAAAAGGTCAAAGGCTCTTTTCAATAATTATGCTGGGGCTTGGTTTTGAGTGATGTTAACGTTAGAAATTCTGTTAAAAAAACGATCATTTGCCCAGCATAAAGAGGCAGAACAGAGCAGTGGCTATTTTTATTTTGTCTTTAACTAAAAACGAGTTGTTCTTTAGAAAACTACACTGTCCATTGGTGTAACGAGTAAAAAACAATCACCAATAACTTACACCTCCGTTTACACTTCACGATACAGACTAATAAAACTGTACCTACACAAAAACTCAAAGCTGCATCAAACTGAGAAATACCCAGTAGAGAGTTGGAGTTTATGAAAGTTGATATATTTACAGTGCTCAATAATAAATGCTATTAAGGTGAAGCATAACTCATTGTTTATATAAGCTACACATTTCAGGCCTCTGAAAGCAGGCTATTGATTTCTAATATGTATTTCTAATAAATAATCAAAAAATAATGTTTTCTTAAGAGTTTTAGAAGCCTGAGTGTCCAGATCAGGTTATTAAGTATGGTTACTCAATCATGTGGTGAAGTGTTGAGGGTTGCTTTTATTTCCTGCCTTTACTACGAGAATAGTTTACAGGTGTAAGGTCTATTTCGCAAATATGGCCTAGATGAAATGTGTTGGTGAATTTCCTACTGTTTAATGTAGGTATATGTACCAGAAAGCGCGTGCTGAACTTTTCGTCTAATGTAGACAGGTCTCTCGTTTCATTTTTGATAAGACGGTTTTGTGGGTTAACGCGGAATGATCTCTACGTAGGAGAGACTCTTCTTGCCTTGTGTGCTGTTGCTCACTCTCCACAGGTGATTGGTGCCACTCGCCGACCAATCAGGACGCGTCTGATCGCCAGCGCAAAGTTGTTAACCCCCTCAGTCGCGTCCCAATATGTATACTCGCTTCCTAACTAGAACGCCTAAGTAGTCCACAGACTTCCGGCCTCCCAAAGGCAGCGCTGCCATTCTCCGGGTTAGCTAAGCGTGCTTGTGCTTCAACTAGAACGCGCCCCCATCTCGGACGATGAGTCGGTCAGCTGTAGTGATCAGAAAAAAACGCCTTTAGCTACTTTTGTCGACAGTTTACTTGGCGAAACCTGATCTGGATGTGGCTTCTTTCTTTCTCGACAACAGATCACCGTCGGATACGAATTATGCAGGCAGTCGGAAACACTCTACGATGGTTTTTGCTGCGTAGCGTTTTGTTGTCTCGCAGCTCCAACTATGCAGCCTTCACACGGTTAGGTAGCTTTAGCCTGTCATGTTCAACCCAATTGCCACCCCGTCCACCCTAGTGGTTAAACTGGTAAGTTGCTCTTTTTACAAACAAAATGAATAATAACTCCGTTTCGTTTGAAGGAATATAGCCGCTCACCCAGGGTAATGCTTACCAGTTTAGTTTTTTTGTCAAGAAAAGAGGTCAAGGCTAAACAGTTTTGCCAAACGTAAGCTAGACGTTAGCAAGTCAACCCGATCGGAATTTGTTGGCACGGGCCAGAGTGTCGCTGTAACCTTCGATTTTCCTCTTAAATGTTTGACCTACCGAGCTAAAAGTGACCAACCTTTAACCAGGAATATGCCAATATCTCTAACAGACGCTTTTAGATTGAGGATACTCTGATCTGGATGTAGATAGATAGAAACAAATCGGTGTTGTATGTTCTTGTAGTCGTGCTCAACATTGAGCTCGTCACACTTTTTTCTCACCGATTAGACAAATGTAAGTTAAAACGAGATATTTTGATAACCGGCGAGTACAATGACCAACACTGTCGTTGCAGCTCGGTACATTTTCCCTTTTCGGTTTAATATACTCGTCGTTTGTGCTGTGTGTCGGTTATTTTGGGACACACACCGACCTTATAAGGCAAAAATGTGCCAGTGTGAAGTTGGAGCTCTCTTTTGTTAGCGGTCTCTTTTGCTTTTCTTTTACGTTTCCGGCAGTATGTTTCTAACCGAGACGAAACTTGCTCCGTGTTCACCAGTAGGAGGATGTAAAATAGACTTTTCTGCAGTTGTACTCCACATTTTTCCAAGTGGTGTGGAGGAGGGGGCTCCAGAGTGGATTTGTCTTTTTGTAAACGTTTAAACGTGTTGAATGATACAGGTCGTTGTATGTAATCATTGTCATAACCCGACTAGGCGGGGACGCCATGAACATTTGCTTCAGCCATGACGGCCAAATGCAGCAGCGAGAATAACTATTGTAAACGCACAACGAAGGAAAATGGCAGATGTTAATTATTTGTGCTCCGAAAGCACCAAAATCCCCTGACAGGGTTTTAACTAAATTGACTAATTTGCCTACGAAGCTTAAGTTAGCTTCTTGTTCGATTTTTCCGGTCCACCTTAAATGGTGCAGTAGCTACATTCTGGCGCCGACAGAATTCTACAGGCGCCAGAATGGATTCGATGCACCATTTAAGGTGGACCGGAAAATTCGAATAACAAGCTGGCGAATACGAAGACAACTTCAGCCGTGTGATTTCCCTGTTTGGATAAATGTGAGGGGTTTGCCTCTTCAGTCGAGCCGCAGCTGGTACAGTAGCTGCGTGGCTCACGTAGGCGGGACTAGTTGCTAGTTGATACTGTTAGTTAGTCATTTTGACGCTTTACTCTATTTGAGCTGTTACTGCGCCTTTGAGTGAATCTCTAATCAGTTCGTGCTCATCGAGATGACCTAATTCAGAGCTGGCCTCATCTTTCACTGCTACACTAGCGCAGACGTTGCCGTAATCTCTGATCCTCGGTATGCAACAACAGAGAAATGCACTCGAAGCTGTGGCATGTCTGTGTTATTTTTTGCCCCGACGCAGTGGGAGAAGGTGGGGGTGGGGGGTCGGTTTTGTGTTTGGAGACACAGAGTCTTTGAAGTTTCTTTGGAAACTTTTCAAAGATCTCATTGTATTGGCCCTCCATAATCTTTTTTTGCAAGAAAAGAGGAATTCTGGTATGTCCAGTTTGGGGAAAAGCCACCCTGGGTGGTCAAACATCAGAACCTAGTCTAAATGGTTTGGATGGAAAAGGATCAAGTGCACTTTCAAACCATCAACTTCAGGAGAGTCTGAATGTGAGTACAGGTAATACTGGCTGTAAAAAAATGTCTCACTGCCAAAATACTTAACTAATCTGCCTCTGTAGAATTGGATTAAAAGAGACAACTTTCAAGATAAAGATTGAGCCAGGTCTTGGATTAGATATGCCATATCTAATACACTTAATATTCTGTTAAAATTCAGTATTATGGATCAGTTAACATTCCTGTATAGTAACATTGTGGTCAGTGCAGTTTCAGTGAGATGGTTATTAATAGCTAATAGCCATGTACACTAAACAGTTGAATCTGACTCTTCTGACACTCTCCCCTCCCCCAGGAAGCTGTTTATTCTTGATTATAGGCTGGCGACAGACAGCGTTACTGGCAACTTTCAGTTTTATGATATTATTACTGAAATTTGCTACTTCAGACATTTACTAAATGTTATGAATCACAATGATTTTGGAATCACATCAGTATCAGCCAATAACTGATTTTCTAAAGATCAGCGTCATCAGGCCGATGCTTAGATTTGGCCAATATTTCAAACCAGTATTTGATGACGCATTGATTCTATTCCAGACGAGCACCGTTAACATTTAGGTGATTTTGGTTGTGCAAGAGCAACGCAGCTAATGCGTCTCCCACAACACCGCGCACACAAGTAAACTTTGCAGCTACTTTGTTGGCTGATCAGCTCTTTCAGGGGAAAAAAAAATCAACAAAATATCCCAGAAGCTACAACCGTTACAGCAGAGGTGAATGAATTCATCACTCTGGATGATCAGCCTCAGGCCTCAGAATGTAACTGCTGCACCATTTAACATGGAATGGAAAAACTCAAACAAGAAGCTGGCGAATAGAAAGCCAACTTCAGCCTCGTATTAAAACTACAAGTAGGATAGTTTGATGGTCTAAATCACTTTATCAGAAAGTGTTTAAAAGAATTAAAAGAATAATTTGAAAGTTTTGATCGCCTAAATCAACTTAATATAAGTAGTAATATTCAGCTGCACAACATGGTACATCTGGTGTGCAGTGGCCTTTGCAGAAGGCAGTTTTGTATGCCTAAGATGTAAAATATGGAATATCGGCATTGACTAATGGGTACATGTGAAATAACAGATATCGGCCTTGGCCCAGAATTCCCATATCGGTGCATCCCTAGTAAAGGTGTTTGAGCAAGTAAATGTTTAATGTTGTTACCAATAGCCTGATCTTGTTGTACAGAAGTGATATGTGAAAGGCACATTTGAGCACTTTGTCAAAATGGTCATTTGTAATAGCTGACGTTGGCTAGTTTTATATGCAGTTTTTCATGAACTCTCAGTAATTTAACATGGGCTGAACTTGACCATTTATTTCTAGTGATATTGAAAGGTCAGAAACGTGACCACAAATTAGCCTAAAAATAAGCAAGAAAGACAAAAAACCCACAATTTGACAGGTGCAAGGTAAAGCATGATACAGTCTGCTCTCTGCGTCACACTCATCTGCCTTTGCGACTCATGCTGTAATTAGCAACCTGTTTAGGGCCCAGCCCCAATCTGGAAATCACATTTGTTTCTGTCTCAGTGATGAAATGCCTAGGTGCAGCCTTTTTATTGCTTTTCTAGATCACCTCACTCTTTCTTTCTCTCCTCTTGTTTTCTTTTTTTCCATCCTACCTTTCTCATCAAAGTCTAATTGTGTATGACTATTTTTATTACACTTGAAATGCATGCCATTTAAGGCAAGGCCTAGGTTTTATTAGACTCCCGCTCAACGCGCAGCTCTCCATTTTAAGAGTGCAAAGAGTGTAGCACTAAGTCTGTTAGCCAAGTTTGTATTTGTATCTTTAGTGAGTTGAAGCATTTTAGGTTTTTCATGTATGACTAAGTCTAGTAATCATTCAGTGACTTAAAATGCAGAACAGTCTAGAGTTTGAAAGTGGCTCTCAGGCTCTTCTAATGGTGCTGTATCTGCCATCAAGCCAGGAAAAAATGTTGTGTGTTTTGTCCAAAATTATTGCCTACCTTTTATTTCCTGCCCTCAATCCACAATTTCATTCACTTTGTAGGTCCTGCACGATCTAGCCTAATGGATAATTTGGATAGTATTTTACACGGACACGTCTCTGGACACAGTATGGCGCACAGACCTAAAGGTAAGTTATACCATGCCAGTCTAGTTTGCATAAATATTCTCATTACTTTGATCCCTGTGGTCAGACAAGTCCTTTCCTGGAGATAATATGGAGATGTCCCTGATGTAATCACCTGCTGATACATGGTCCTGAGTATATTGTGTATATATTGAGTATACTCATGTTTTTGTTTTGGTGAAAGTAAAAGCTGTGTGTGTGTGTGTGTGTGTGTGTGTGTGTGTGTGTGTGTGTATATATATATATATATATATATATATATATATATATATATATATATATATATATATAAATATAAAACCTAAGCCTATATTTCAGTCTCAATATTGTTATATAGCCTATGCTGTGTCTGCTGCTTACCGTAGATGTTACATTACATTTCATCAGCAAGTTCTGGAGGTTCTGAAGTGGTTGCCACAGATGACCACACCCTGGAAAAAGAATAATGATTAATGAAATATGGAGATTGTGTTTTCCAACTAGGTAGTTATGTAAAAAGCAGCTTTATGTTTCCATGATTTCTATTGAATTACAGCAATGCTCTGTCCTTCTGAGGTTTTCTTCTTACACCCCTCTTACTGTGGTTTATATGCGTTACCAGCAGAGGGCGACGTTTCCCAGCATAAGCATTCAGAGCGCCCTGTCACAGAGGAGTGGGCAATATGGCAAAAAATATACATACCTTGATATTTCACGGTATGAATCTAATCTGTATCATGATATTTAGCTTTTGAGATTTTAAAAATTGGAAGAGACAAAAATGAACTGTTATTTCCACATTAAAAAAAACTTAAAAATATGAATAGTGATTTTAGCGAACATTTTCAGAGTTGCACTAAATCCAATTACACATGCCTAACTGTGCTCTCTCTGTAGTGGAACATGCAGTTTTTCAGTTCAGTTTTTTAAGTACTGACAATATCCATGATGCGCTCAGGCAAGCAGACTGAGACAAAATGTCATGTGTCGTGATAATAACGTATAATATCGTATTACCCACCTCTACTGTGGCATAGTTGAAAGTATTAATCCTGCATTTGTGTGTGTGCACAAGGCCTTCACTAAAGCCCAAAGTGGGACAGCATGTTTTAGTTTAAGGCTCTCCAAATTCATAGCGGTACAGTTTGATACTGTCTGAATTAAAGTTTATTTTTATGCTCTCGTAAAGTAGGGGTTTGACAGTGCAGACAGAGTAAATAATGTACTACTGTGACAACTATAGAGATGACATCAGTATCAAATAGGTATTGATATGGTATTGGGCGACATCCGAGGAAATAGAATGAATCTAATCCTGTAACAAATTGAGCCTGAAATAGCACATTATATGATGTGATGGTAGCCGTGTATTTCTTTCTGTGGGGTAGTAAATTGTTCGAGTAATTTCAGTGGGAGAACTTATATGTATCTTACAAATTTAATATGGATCTTATAAATCACATTATTTAGTGTGTGTGTATGTGTATGTATGTATGTGTGTGTGTGTGTATATATATATATATATATATATATATATATATATATATATATATATATATATACACACACATGCATATATACATAAATACAAATATATAAAAATTATTAGCGTGCGCGCGCATCTAGATATTGGAGTGAAGTGGTATCGCGCTGGTCTGGTCTGTAGTGACCGTGTGTGTGCTCGGTGCTCCGGGGCTGGATGTGAAGCGGTGTGTAAGGGGAATATAGTTGGTGTGTGCGTGTGTGGAGCAGTAAACAGCTGTGTGAGGGGAGAGACAGGCTATACTGACCGCTCTGAGCGAGTGAGAGAGCGAGAGCGCGCGGCTCCCCATCCCCCATCCTCCTCCGCCCCTCCGGGCGCGCACGCGCGCTACACCGAGTGCGAATGGCTGGTGTGTGAGCGGGGGGAGGGGGAGGAGGGGGGTCGGGCCGCAGGAAGCAAACCGAGAGTTAAAGAGTTTTTAATGTCCGCCATGTTGGCCATGGCGTGCTGAAGCAGGATCCAGAGCGGGTCTACACAGAGCGACCGAGAGAGCTAGAGAGAGCGAGCGAGCAGGACCCGGGCCCGCCCGGCTCCCAGCTTCTCACTGAGACAGACCCGCCGAACGACTCCGCACACCGCCACAGACTCATCAATGAGAACTAAAACGGCTTCATTAGTCAATCTGAAGGGACCTTGTACATTTATGCTCCATCTTTCGGTGTAAAAAAAAAAAAAATGAGCAAGTTGTCGTTTCGGGCGCGGGCGCTGGACGCCGCCAAGCCCCTTCCCGTCTTCCGCTGTGAGGACTTACCGGACCTGCACGAATACGCCTCCATCAACCGGACAGTGCCGCAGATGCCGACGGGGATGGAGAAAGAGGAGGAATCGGTACGTTTGGAAGCGCCGTAGGCCACTTTGCGTGCGTTTTACAGTTTGTTTTTCAGTGCGAGCGTCGCTTCGCTATCGCCTGCGCAGGTTTGCACAAAATGGCGGCCGCTTCGTTTTCTTTTCCCACGGTAAAACGCCTCGGTTGTGCGCGCTGCGTCGAATGTTTCGCTGCTTGTGCGGAGAAGAAGGCCTTATGTCGTGATTTTGGGCGAAATATTCATGTTGTGAGCAGCCGTTTGGCTGCGAATCGCTTTGCAAAACACAAAGGAGTCACGTGACCCTGGCCGAGCCGCCATTTTGTGGCCGGGCTCGTCGTTGGGCTGCGGCGTTGCGGTGGCGCTAAGCGGCCGGCAGGAGGCGCACCGAAGCCACACCGGCACACCACCACCGCGCACATGGACAGAGGCGCGTTCGCTGTCAACTCTACTACGGTCAAAACATGTCAATGAGGAGTTGTTATCCAGGGCCTCAGTACACGAAGCAGGACTTATCAGTTCAGCCAGATACCTTAAAGTTCAAGTCAGTTCAGAGTGAGAATACTGGACGTTCGCGCTTGACTGTCCTCAACGTTGGGCCTGATTTATCTGACTGACTGAAAGTCCTGCTTTGTGTAAACACCTTGTGAGTCAGGGAGCCCGTCCGTATAATTAATTATACTCTAAAATAACTCTTTCTGTCGTTCATCGGTTGATATATGCGGTTACGGTAGTATATTTGCATGCTGTCAAGTAGTTTTGAGTCGAGTCGACTGGACGTTTGATGTGATACTGACATTCACCAGTTCAGTTCATGATGCCCGAGGGAGGTGGCAAAACAACACGGGCCGCTCAGAAGATTTGACATACTGCCACTAGATAGTTAACGTGGATAACTGCAGACCTTCACATGTTGTTCATTTTGGAGAGAAAACATTTGTTGGGGAATATGAGGGGAATCCAGCTGACTAACACAGAAGCCTGCACTGCTTGGTTTCTCTAGTCGTTGCGATGACAGTTCTCACATTTTCTCCGCGTTGTCTCAGGTCTTGGACAGGACTGGAGTTAATTGAAGGGGGGCTGTGGTAGAAAGTGCTAAATTTGCCTTGGAATAAATCTAAATTATTCAGACTGTAGGCTGAGAGGCATGCATCGCGGTTATTAACTCTCGATACAGCTGTGATACAGGAGTTTAAAATAAGCATTGTACACTCACATGGACCAACACACCTTATAACATTTACAATGGGTTTTTTTTTTTTTAAGTATTAAATACTTATTGTAGGCTGACAAAGACCCTCTGTTCAGCCAGTATCTGCAGAGCTAGTTAGCCATCTCCAGCATTGAACTGCTAAGGATGCTTGTAGGTGTCTGGAGGACATGAAAGCTTGAATTCGGTCTTCACTCAGTAGTCTCAAACTTTTTGCACTGTGACTGAAGACGATTAATAAAATGCTTTCCACTGTAACACTATCACTTCAGCACAAAGTAGTGTGTGTGTGTGAGAGTTTGAGAGAGTCTAGTGTTGTAAATTATTTCTGTCCCAAGTGCTAAAACAAGTAGATTTCTGCTGCTTTCTTGGTTGTGTGGAGAGTATAGTCACACATGTTGGTTATATTCTTTATTTACATAAAAATACAAATATATACTCTGATGTCCAGATCAGTGCATTGAAACCAACTGTACAAACTGTGGAAATTTTTATATATAATTTATATAAAGTTTTTTATATATTTTATAATAGGCCAGCATGTTTTCCTTACTGTTGAGGACTTTTGAATGAAAATGAGGAAGAGGTCGGTTATGTGACGAGACAAGTTGGCTGCTTTTTTGTGTGTGCACTGTTTAAAAACAGGAAGTTCATGAAGGAATGCCTTCGTTTATTAATGTTTGGTTCTCTTGTTGATTTTGGTCCACCACTTGAAAGTATTCTGTCCACTGAGTCAAAATGAGAAGTTAAAACACATGACCTCATCTCACACGTGTTATTTACTATAAGCACAGCCACACCCCCAAGTGTCAGGATCTGCAGGTTACTGATGGTTGTCCCACTGTTCAGCTCAAGTGTTCATGAATATGAGGAAAGAATAGCTTAAAAAGCAACCAGTGAGGCAGTTTTATTTGTTTGTTTTTTCTTTCCCAGTTTTCACTGTGCCGTTTCGACATGAAAATGATGGTCTGTTCTGCTTGTCTGAGCTGGAATATCCTGCACATCTTGAACTGAAGAATGCTGCATAGGCCTGGCTTGTTAGGCTGATAAATGTAGTATGAGCATGAACTCTTTGACCTCCAGAAATCTTCTGAATAGATCTGTACTGGTGTTCTTGGTTGCCTTATTCTCATCTTAAAACTGTACAGATATTCAGCTGTAAAGATGGCTTGTAAAATGCATCTTCGTCCACCGTTTTGTGTGTTGATCTTTGTGGTTTTAGTTATTGCTTTTATTTTAAATGAGCAGGCATGCTGGCCTTAGGAAGGTGCAAAATTTATGTGGCCAAATATGACAAATTGACAGCTATGGCTTTGTGTCTGCAGAGAAATTTATACCCAGCCCATGTCACTGGAAAATTGAAATGGACAGGCTTGTGAAATGAACTGGAACTAGTGAAAAGCAGGGGTTGGAGTGCTTGCATAATTTATTGGATGTGAGCCTCCTTGAAAGATAAACATAAGGATGTGGGCAACTGTCCAGTAAGTAAAATCAGGATGTTAAAGGAGATTGGAGTGGTGATTGGTTTTGACTGAAGATGCATAAAGAAGGTGGTAATTCTGAAGTCCTTTAAGTTGTTGTTGGTCTTCAATGGTTTCATGATCAAATTTAAATCTATTTACAGAGTAGACATTTTTTCAAAATTGAAAAGAGTGGTATTCACTGATTTCTCAGCTTTGTATCAGTGTTTATGTTTTGCAGTTCATTCTTTGCAACTGAAAATTGTGCTTTACTCGTTTTATTTAAGAGTAGCCTAAATCTCTTCTTGCGTTCTGCAGTCTAGTCTGGGCTAGAGGTCATGGAAGTTCTCCAGTTGGATTTGACCTGCTTTTCCCTGGTTCCCAGCCGGAATGCAGAGACAGTGTAAACATTTGGCCGAGGGCTGCTTTAGTCAGCGTTTACTGCCAGTTCAGCAGACGGATGTCATCCGTAAAGCTGGGCGGACAGTCAGCTGATGAGCAGAGATATGAGTGGTCTGAGCCTCCTGTTTTCACATTTACATCCTGAGGATGAATTATTGAGGACCACTAGAACTGATCAGATGAGTAATGTTATAGAGTTTCTGGTCTGTTAAGGATAATCGATAATTAACACCTTGCGTTGTGGATACCAATAACAGTAGCTTTAATTTTATTTTAAAGACCCCAGGAACCTGAGGCTGTGTTGTCTTTCTAGTTAAGTTAATCTTGCAGGTGAACAGTAAGAAGGTACTAGGGGTACCATGTGAGTGGTGTTCCAGTGATCAATAAATGACCGATATATTTCTCCACATTTCTCTCTTTTTGATGTAAACTGGGCGGTCCTAATCTTGGGTTACTCTCCCGTAAGCATCCCCCTTATCAATCCCAAGGCTGACGTCTCTTGTCCAGCCCACACAAGTTTCAGAGTCAGAAAAACTTAGTGAGCTAAGCCAAACCCAGCATGACCGAAAACTAGCAGGCTATACCACCTGTCTGTAGCTGCCTCATTCCCAGTCATTCATATATCGTTACACCAACGTTGTTCATTCATCTATTCCTTCATTGTAATATTGCTTTGTCTGTCCATTTGTTTGTTTGTCTGTTCTTTCATTCATGTGTTGCTTCGTCTGTCCATTTATTCTTTCATCCGTCTACACATCTCTTCACCTGTAATCTTTTTCGTTCTGTTGCCATCACATAAAAGCTGGATAATTATTTTAGTTTTGTATGAATGTTGGAGCAGGCTAGGAGTGTTGGACAGAGCTGTCAATCAGGCTGCTCATTAGCCACGCCCACACAGATCTCAGATAGGTCTGATCAGCAGTTTTTAAGATGAGTTTTATCATGTTTTTCATTTATTTTTTGTTTCATTCAGTCTTGCTGGATGTTTAATATAACACAGTGTAGCATTATAAACATTTTTAAATAACTTTCTCTGGGACTTTCAGTTCAGTGTTTAATTCTTATGTAAAGTGCAGTGAGAATAAGACTGATTAACCACCAACTGACAAATAAGCAATTTTCAGCTAATTTTGGTTTAAAGCAGTTAATTTAATTTTTCATTTCCATAAACAGCTTCTTTTCGAATAGGCAAGTTTATTCATAGACGAGAGGTTTTGAATTGTATGCTTAAGAGCACAATAGGTAATTGATTTCACCATGATGGACTCTCTTAAAGATGTAGCACACCACTAAAAATGGAAGTGTTCAGGACCGTGGCACAGTTGGGACACAGTTACCATCTGTAATTCCAGTTTTGGGTTGGTAATAATACATTTTTTTCCATATGTTGATGAATACTACATTTGCCACCAGTGTATTTTGCATATTAGCCTGTAACGGTCATGAAATTTTAGTTGACGATTAAGTGCCATATCAATGATCATGATTAATATTTAAAATTTTTGTGCTCATTTTGTACAGTTATTAAAGTACAAACTTAGTGGCCAAATTGGATAATTAGCTGTTTTGCTTCTTAGCTGTCTTTACATACAGACGCATATCTAGAGTTACTCAATCACGTGTAATCAAGCAAAAGACGCTTTACTCTTTGCTTCCCTCTGCATCAAGTTATCTGTTCAAGTGTGTTTGTTTGTATTTTATACTTATTTGGCTTAACCTCACTGGAAAAAATGCATCCAATTCATTTTCTGCTTGTTGTGATAAAGTATAATTGTGAAATCTGCCTGTATGGTAAATTACCACAGTCAGCTGGGATGACTGTGATTATCTGAAATAATTGTGATAACTGTGACAGACCTGCTTTTGAGGAATAACTTCATTGTGGGATCTGGGTGCTGTATTGAAAAGAGGAAGTTGCTTTATCATAATGTAGAACGCCAAGTCCTTTGTATCTGACTCTGTGGATTCGTATTAAAACATGATGTAGCCATGTTAGATCATGCCAGAAAATAAAGTATCCCACGTAACGGGTTGTAAAAGACGAGAGCTCTTGAGTGTATCTCTCCCTCCTTTCCTCACTCAGTCTTGCACTCTGTCCTTGTATGTGGTTTGTTGTGATGAGTGACTGCAGGGTTGGTGTTGGGAATGTTTGACTTTATTCAGAGGAGCATGCCAAAAGAAGTCTGCTTCTGGTCTCTGCTAATTGCTTCCTTATGTGTGGGAATTCTGCTAAGAGTTCAGCCCTGAGTCATGAGGCAGTTGGTGTGTGTGTGTGTGTGTGTGTGTGTGTGTGTGTGTGTGTGAGTGCATGTGGGCAAGGAGTTTTGAGTTTGGATGGGGTGTAGTGTTTGCATAGAAGGCACAAACTTGAGTGTTGTTTAGATTTGTCAAATACCAATTATAAAAACATTTATCAGAGGTTTTCTGAAATGTCGTCTCAGATTGTAACATTAAATAAAATTCTTCTTGTTGATTAGGTTGCAGTTACAGAATGTTGCGCGAAGGCCCGCAGTGACCACTGAGCAAAAGGCTGTGCTACCATCCACCTAGCAGGAACCCCCTCCAAATCTTGTTGTGCTGTTTATCTTGTGACCCTTATTTGAACTCCTCATTCACAGGTCTCTCAGATGTTTGTTAGAGTCATAGTTAGAAAATGTAAAATAGGAAATGGAGGTGAAGTCATCTCCTCTGGTTGTGATCCTCACAGATTGTGCCAGAGAAGTACATGAGGCTGACATGTTCGAGTGAAATTCGAGTGAACAGTGAACTTATTACTGTTGCTTTGTAGGACTTTCGTCCAAGAACGTGTTGGTATACGCATATAATTGCAGTTCCTGTTTGTCATCATGTTGTTGAGTGTATGTGATTTGAGGATTTTAGCTGGAGTATTTTAAGTTGTGAGAAGTAAGTCTGTCCAGTTTAATATTTGCCCAGTTTAAACGCAGACGAGAACCTTTTAAGCTGCGATCTGTTAATGTCTAAAGTAGTAGAGGATTGGAACAGATCCAGGCATATTTCAGTGGATCAGATATTGACCATATTCAGTTTTATATTAAGATCTAATTCAGGTTCTTTATTTTTTTGCATTATTCACGTTGCTGTGGTTGATAAGATGTAAGCAGATGTGGTCCAATAAGCGTGGCAGCGAGGCGCGATCTGAATGTCTGCAGTGTGGAACTGTTTTAAAAGGGAATATGAAAACTTCCTATGGGCGGTGGCAGTGTTTTGGCTATGTTTGAATTGACCAGTTTTCATCAAAGCACAAGCACTTAATGTGATCACATGGTGGCTGTTATACTTGGAGTCCATTTTCTGGCTCTTGTCACCATGTACAAAATACACTCCTGCGTATTTTTTCACTTACAAGTCACGAATGGTTCAAACTAAAGGATCAAACTGGTGTTAGCAGTAACACCGTATTCACAGTTAATAGAAAACAGCTGACTACTCTGTACATGTTGGAGTAATTTCAAACCATAGCATAATCTACGCGTCAAGAAGTTATTTCATAGAAGAACTCAACAGAAGTTTAGTTTAGTGTGGGCTGAAGCTTTTAAAAGGGATTAGCAAAGTCACTTGGTGGGGCAACATGACTATTTTATCATGATGAATTTTGTCAGTATGCTCTCTGAGCATGTCATGCATATTTTCAGTACTAAAAAAACACTGACCCACTGCGTATTTTATTACAAGGAGAGCATAATTGGTCTTGCTTAGATGAATTTACTGTCGCAGAGTACATGAAAAATTGACCAAAAAAAATTATGTTCTCTCATGAAAATTTCTAGTTCACAGTATTGTGTATTTTTACCAAATAGCTCACCCTACTGTGAAGTATCTGTTAGAGAAAAGAGACACGCATTCAAAATGAAGTGATTCCACCACAGCATTGGCTGGTGGCCTAGCATGTGTTGCCTAAATTTTGTGGGTGTTTATCTCACAAAAATGCAAATATGTGATTAGATTCAGTGTTGGTGAATGTTCAAGAGTACAGTGCTCTGGTCTGGTTGGAGCAAAAAAATCTTGATCAGGTCGTCCTTAACATAGAGGCTTGTGGTGTTTTTGTCATTGGAACAGATCTCATTCATATGATAGCAGCCTTCCACCAGTACTTATATTCCCCCATACATGCATGCTCCTTTCACTTTGTCATTATCCTCAGCAAACACTAGTATGAGAGTGTTGTGGTAAATGTAAGCAAACGTACATCTTTACAGTTAGTGTTCTTATATATGATCATTTTCATTGGCGGTGGTAGTGATGTAGAAAACTGGAAAATTTCAGTGTTTCCGTAGGATATGCTCCTAAATGAAGATAGTGTTGTAGTGTTTTTTCACTGGGCTGTGCAATACATCAGGATTATAAGTCAGTGATCACCCCTTTTTCACTGGGAAGTGTAGTACTTGTGTTGAGTTGTCCTTCTTGCTGGGCTACCAAGCGTATCAAGCCCAAACGTATGGGTGGTGCTAGTAATGGAGGATCATTTTGCAGAATTGTCAATCTCTTGTATTGTTTCTACTGTTTAACATGAGACTCGTGAGAAATCATGTTGAAAGCATAATCTAAAGAACTCTGCGAAGCTTTACAGTGCTGTTGTGCAGTGGGAAACACACAGGTACTGGAGCAGGGAACGGATAGTTCTGTGCTCAGGTTTGTAACTGTACCGTACTGTCTGGTGGAAAATTTCAGGTAGTGTAGTTTCTGATTGCAGTCTCTTCGAGGCATGCTGTTGGTGTGTACATGGATTGTGTACATTTTGTTTCCATGGAAAACTAAATTTAAATCATAAACATAAAAACATACTGAAGTAGTTGCACAGCGTTGTTTACCTGCTTTCGATGATAGTACCAGTGTCATATTGAGGCTAATAGCATTGACCATTATAGTGATTTAGATTCTCCTAGTCTGCATTTTTAAAGAACAATACATATTAACTTTTCAGTGGTTGGCTGTTGTGGGCTGTTTTTCCATAGTCTGATTACTAAAGAAGTAAAGAATATTTTGAAGAGTATTTTCAATTGCTTAAGCTTTTTAAGGGTTTCTGTAAGCCTGTCATGGTCGTAATTTTTAGCTGGAACTCAATTGCCATATAAGAAATAGCAACTAAGTTTTTTTTGGTTTGTTTTTTTTTTTTCTGTTGCATGCAGCTGTTAAAGTAGATACCTGAATTGGCCGTATAGGCTAAAGAACTTCATTTCTTCCTAGCTCTTGATTGAATCTGCTTCCCAAATGATGACTCCCTGTCATCATGTTATTCCCTGCCCTGTAAAAGTGCTAGCCACGCTTCAGAACTTGTCGTTTTTATAAGATCCAAGACGTGTTTATTTCCTTTTATTTGTGTTTGCCTCAAGCTAACAGATATTTGTTGCTACGAAAACATTGATGCACAAACAACTGTGGATAATTGTGATTAGCTTAAATAATAGTGATCACCTCAAATCATTGTTAGCAGGTGATTATGTAGTAATTGTGGCAGAACTAAATTCCATGGTTTCCACAATTTGGTAGAATCCCAGGATAACATTACAGTGCTGTTTACTCCTATTGATATATCTCCCATCCCTACCTCTAAATAAGTGTAATTCTTAATCTCTGTTTTGTATAGGAACACCATCTCCAGCGGGCCATTTCAGCACAGCAGGTATATGGGGAGAAGAGGGACAACATGGTGATCCCTGTGCCCGAAGCAGAGAGCAACGTCGCCTACTACGACTCCCTCTACCCAGGGGACTTCAGGATGCCAAAGCAGCTCATTCACATACAGCGTGAGTCTGCCTCGCTAGTGTGTCTGTGTGCCTCGTGCTTGCATGAATGTTAATTAAGGGAAAGGATGGTTATTAGTGAGTGCAGCCAGAGCAGGACTGCTCATGAATGTGGGTCTTAGGAGCAGTTTGACTGTTGAGGTGTATGGAGGATGGTGCGTCTGTTCATACATTGTTGATGCTCATTAGGTGTTGACTTGATGGCATACGCATCTTGCTTTTGTGTCTCTTTAAGTGTTCTTGTGAAAGTTTAATGCAGTTGTTGTAATCTTATGTATTTACTTGTATTTACTGTCTTTGAAGGAGGCTGCTTTTAGAGCATAGTGTTCTGAGACTCCTTAGCCTGCCACTTCTAATTTTTTGCTTTTCAATTTCCACCAAATCCTTTTGTAACCATATACACTAAGCTGTATTAAACCATGCTGAGGGTGGTGTTGTGCACCATGATCAGCTTTTTTAAGGAATAGTTTTGTATTTTCCTTGTATTTGATGCTTGAATTCAAGAACATGTAGTTTTTGAGATGTGTATCTTGGTCATGGTCCATATGGAGAAGTGCTGCAGCAATTTTATCTGATAAATCTAGATAGAAACCTTTCAGAAAATGGTTGTAAAAAGGGAAATAGGTTCATAATCTATTATTCTTGTGCAATAACCTGTATTGAGAATTCAGCAGTTGTGCTCTTCTCTGCCTTATGAGTGTTTAGTCAATAGTAGAACAGAGTTTATTCCAAACCTGGGATGTAGTCTTAAAGCACAGTCATGGTAGTTCACTGATTAACTGTCATGGTTTTGTTTGTAGGGCTAACCAGCAATGATGAGCTCGGTAACATCCTAAACACTTGAGCATAAGCCATTAGATTGGAAACGAAGATTTGCTTCAGAGGCCAACACTCCAGATTCAGATGCTCTGTGGAGTAGGAAGCTAGTAATCGCATTTGTACACACAAGGTGACAAAGCTACTAGGACTAGCTCTTTGGCTAATTGGTGCTACACGCTGCGAGCACCTGCACTACTCACTTTCTTTTCTTCAACTCGGTGTTTGCATGCTTTCATTCACGCAGCTTGTTTTGCCATTTCAGTAGTTTGGGGGGCATGTAAAGTCATTTTCAAAAATGTTAAATAAACCAATGTACATTTTTATACAACCATCTTGTGCCTCCTGGCTTAGAGCCTCGGGGTTAACATCGTAAGCTTATTGGAACTGCTCAATATGACCACTTATGGATTTAGGACCCATGAAACTAATGGTGAAAAAGAAATGTATTTAGAATTTGAAAATATTGGAATATTTGAGGGAGTTTGGGTGTAACAGACTCGGGGAAATTCGGACTTCATTTCTGAGCTTAATTTCTGCCATTTTCCCTCTCTCTCTCTGGGCATGTTTTACAAAGTGAAGTTGATTTTTTTCGAAAAGGCTTAAAATTGTGGTCAGTTTTTTGAAACATTAAGTTCATGGGAAGGCTTTATAAGAGTTGTGCATTTAGGGTTACTTCCCCACAAAAACGAAGCTTTGTATGATAAATATAAAAGTATGTAAGTCCTTTAGGGCTGCTCAATTATGGCAAAAATCATTGGACTGTTTTGGTTAATATTGAGGTCACGATCATTTAATATGGTTACTCATTGACTTTGGAAACATCATGCATTTATTGAGCTTTAAAAAAAAAAAACTTGTCTAACAGTGAATATTCTTGAACTTTAACTCAACAGAGAATCATTAAAGTAAAAAAAGGAATCATAATGTGAAGTGTAAAATTTATTTTTACATTATTTATTATGTATTATCTTAAATGTGATCAACTGCATTGTAGTGCACTTTCAGAACCTACAGAAAACTACTAACAATATATACAAAAAATAAATAACTGGTAATGAATCAGACCAAAAACATTTGAGTTTGGGCTTCTAGAGAGGGATGAAAGCGCACCGCTGTAAAGGAAAGGGGTGCGATGGATTTATTAACGACAAAACGAGAGCGTCATTTTATAACAATTATTTTTTCATAAATTCGATTAATCGCCAAGCCCTAGTATCCTTACAAGCCTACAGTTTTGTGAATTAAGAACAAAAAACGTTTTAATTTTACTTTTTTTTTTAATTTATTATTATTTTTTATTTTTTTTTTTATTATGCTGAGATGAGTTACTGAGAAATGCATGTCCAGCACCTTACGCTATTTAAGACATGGAAACTGTTCGGCTGACTACTTTTCTGTAATACATTTTATTTTAAGTGTTTTCTCTTGGTCTGCAGGTAAACAGTGCTGATAACTGCACAGTTTTAGATTTGAGTGCATGTACAAGAAATCTTTCAGATAGGGTTAATATGAGTTCAGCTCTTTGTCTGGTTTGTGTGTCTATGTATGAGTGAAAGTGTGTGTCTTGCAGCCTTTGGGGTGTGTGTGTGTGTGTGTGTGGGTGTGTGTGTGTGTGTGATAGCACCTGGAAGTGTCCTGCTGTCAAAGAGCGTCTGAGCACGCTCCCACATGCAGACATCAATGAGAGAGGGGGGTAGGGGTGGGGCGAGTGACTAAGAGAGGGAATATTAAAACAGTCCTACTCAGTGTTACTGCAAGTCTCTCTGAAGCATTTGCTCCTTTGAAATGCATTCACACTGTCTTGCCATATTTAAGCACAAATGGAAACATACAGATCACTAGAGTTTTGTGTGAGAGGTAGTGCTGGCCCATTTGTAGCAGTCTTGGTACATCTGATGTTATGTTGACATTGTTTTCATTTCTTTATGGATTTATAAGTTTGAATATTTTTTATTTCAAATGAGTTGTAGTTGAAATTGTAGATGTTTCTACTCATGGTGATGGTTAACTTTTGTTAAATGAGTCCTTTTGGTTGACTAAAACCAGTGTGAAGTGTTTTGCCAAGTATGCCTAACAAATAGGAACTTTATTATTAAAAAGTCTTCTGTTATTTTACTTTAAAATAATTGTAGTCCAACCCATCTGTGCATTCCCAGTGGTCTGTGAACTTGGTTGTTCTCCACCTGGCAGCTCCAACAGTTCTTGTGCTTCACTTGCTCAATCCAGACATTCTGTGGGTGCATTTGTTTGCGTCTGCAGTAATAGCTGGGGTTTGGTTTATACCAGAAGGCTAGAAAATGGGGAGGTGAAATGTGAATGGCATGTTTGAGCAAGAAATCAAGGAATGGGTTTTTAAATTGCCAGAGACGTTGCCAAACGTGGAGAGAAGTTAGATGAAATAACTGAAGTGCACCTCTTCTGTGTGTGTGTGTGTGTGTGTGTGTTGGTGTCCATGTATAACTTCTGCTATAAATCTTCCACAGCTTTCAGTCTGGACACAGAGCAGCCAGATTATGACCTGGACTCTGAAGACGAGGCGTTTGTGAACAGGCTGAAGAAGAAGATGGAGGTTGGGGCGCTGCAGTTTGAGCTGATGATCGACCGGCTGGAGAAAGGCAGCGGCCAGCAGGTATCAACATTAATAACCTTTAACAATGAGAAATACTGACCCGAGAGACTTCACTCTATGAAGCCTGAAATTAAAAGGTAATTGGAGGTTATTATTAAGACTGTCAGGCTCTCAGTCCGTTGTGCGTTCGATTGAGCTTTTGGTTCTTATGAATGTATGGGCTTGGCTGTTAGCTGTAGTTTTAGGTTCAATTTAACCAAGGTTAAGTCTGCATTAAAGGCCTATACAGAAGTGAATAAATGATTTGTCACAAGTCGATATGCAGGGTTTTTGTACTTCAGTGTTTGTGCAGTGACGGCTAAAGAATCTTCTGTAGTTTCCACACAGCTTCTCTAGACAGTCATTTCTCGTATTTGCACTTAAAAATAAGTCCCTGATTTGCTGGATCTTGATGTGATTTAGCAAATGGAAGTGCCCGGTTCTAGGAATGTGTTTTATGTGTTTGTGATACGACTGAAGGTTGTAATGCCATTTAATTCGGCTCTGCTTTAAAAGTGCTGTGTAAATAAAAATGCTTACTTTCTTAATCTCCAGCTTGTGACTCTCCAAGAAGCAAAGCTCTTACTGAAGGAAGATGATGAGCTGATCAGGGAGGTGTTTGAGTACTGGAGCAGGAAGAGGAAGTCATGTAAAGGCGGATCCCTCACTCCAGTGGTCAAACAGGAGAAGCGTGACGGCTCCAGCACCGGTGACCCCTATGTGGCCTTCAGGCGCAGGACGGAGAAAATGCAAACCAGGAAGGTAAGTGACTGAAGATATAAGGTCACCGATGCCCTAAAGAAATTACTCTTAGAGGCTGTTTGCACCTTGCATTCATGTGTATCATCACTGGATTGTCACTGGATATACTTTAGCCAGATCTCCTGTACACTTTTTCATAAATTGTGTCCCAATTGTGACCCGAAGGAGATCCGGTTTTAATTTACAGCACATCAATACATGCATAGTTTGTTTTACTTCTTCTTGTCACTTTATCGGGGTCATGTTTTTTTACCCTAGACAGTTCGATGATAAAAATAAGGGTTCTTTAGGCTACAGCTTTTTGTGTATTTTGATATATCTAATTGCTGTCATTGAAAATGTATTTTTTTTTGGTATGTACTAGTACTAATCTAGCCTTCTGGATTCATGATGTTTTGTATTCAAGGTCAGTTAGGCGAGACTCAGCCAATGCCAAGTGCCATTTCAATTTGGTACAGTAAACGAAAAGACCCTGGATTAACTTCTTTTCAGTTTAATACTGGTCTTACACACAAATACGACTGGCATTGTAAACGATTAAAAGCCTTGAAATGCTGTTAGAACAAAGCCTTTCAAGTTCTCAGTCTAAAGAGCAGTTTAAATAGATTGCTTTTTTTTTTTTCCTCACAACAGAATCGCAAGAATGACGAAGCATCATATGAGAAGATGCTGAAACTGAGGAGAGATCTGAGCAGGGCCATCACAATTCTGGAGATGATAAAGAAGCGCGAGAAGAGCAAGAGAGAATTGCTGCATCTGACACTGGAGATAGTGGAAAAGAGGTACAGACCTGAAGCTAGTACTCTGTCTGGATTTACCACACAGTTTAGACACCTATGTCAGTTTATTCAGTGTAATTCAGTGTTTATTCCCCCAGTTCCTGAGTAGTTAGTTGTTTTAGCGGGATGTCAGGAATTCAGTGTATGGCCCTATTTTCAGTGAACTGGCCAGCTGATGCAGTCACGACTTGCGTTGACCTTGCATTTTCAGGACCAGTAACCTTAACTGTTAATTGCTGCTGTGTTATTCCATTTGGGTGTGAAAATGAGTGAGCGAGTGTAATGGGGAGGGGAGTCCATGTATTTTTAATCGGCCAAGCTTCCACCACATTGGCTAATTAGTAGTCATGTTTTTTCCAGTGAAATAACAAAGTTCACCTTTCTTACGTATCAGTGTTGCATGCTACACCTACAAGATGGAAGTATAAGGGCTTGTCTTGTTAGTGTGTGTGTGTGTGTGTGGCTTTTATGGATTTTAATTTTGCTGAATGATGTTTATCCCATGAAGCTTTTTTTGTGTAATGTAGAAGAGGGATATTCTCTATCAAGACCAATGTGGTGTGTTGTCATTTCGGCTCCATAGTTTTTGGCTTTGCTATGCAAGCATTTTAGGCTATACCCATTACATTAGAACTGAAAATGAAGTATCTTAGGTCAGCATGTAAACATGACCAATGTCAGTGTATAGGTTTAAGATTTTTTGCTTAGATCCAGTCTTTCTAACTTGATGGTTCACATTCCTGTTGGTATGAGACTCATCTCTCGTTAATATGAATGAACCTGTAATTAATGTGAACAACCCACATGAGCACATCCTAATCAGTAACGTCACGAGTGAACAACGTGTGTCATGATCAGCGAACAAACTAACCAGCAGAACAAGGCTCTCCTGTGAAGATAATTAGCTCTGAACAGCTCTCAGCTGTTCATTATTAGAACGAGATGAAGGCGGAAAAAGGCCAGATATGGCGACTTTTGCACCATTTACGGGCACTTGCTTCAGGTTCCACATTAACACTGAATGATGACGCACATGCGGTGGGGGAAAACACCCAAGAATTTGTCTCTGAGCGGTGCTTAGGTCACATGGACACGAATAGGATTTGTATCTATTCTAGGGCCACATGTGGAAGTGGCCCAGGTCAGATTCGAAAAGATCAGATGTGTTTGTCCACACAGCTTTGAAAACATCAGATCTGTGTCACATTAAGGCAAAAAATTGGAGTTGTGCCACTTCAGTCTGGTAATTTGAGTCCTCTGGTTTCTTCTCAGGAATGGCCTGCCTGACTTTGGCACTGATATCATGACAGAGGCACTGGCCATGGCCAAGCCCATTTACAAGATTCCCATCATTCCCCTGCCCAGCAGCAGCCAGTACCGCCACACGGACCACGTTGAGCTCAAGGACTATAAGATTAAGGTGAGTGTTTGTACCTTTATGATTAAAACCTACCTGGACACACGTTACCCTGTGCCTGTTTTTGTCAGTGACTACTCCTTTTTTGTTTTTGTTTGATTGTTTTTAATAAAGTGAATGTCATTGAAACATTTTTTGGAACTTCAAACTGAGCATCAAATATAGATACCTTTCATCAGTGTGAGAGAAGAATGATGAAGGGTGATTAAAAATGCTTTTCTGAGTGGTCTCATTCCTACTGCTGTCTTTTGTTCCCCTCCTTTAGCCGGAGAAAACAGAGGTGGTCCGCACAAAGAGGAAATATGAAAAAAAGCCGAAGGTCCAGCCGTTCTCCACTCCTCAGCAGTCTGGTCCCTCCCTCATCAATCCCAAAGACCTCAACCAGTATGACTTTCCCAGCTCTGATGAGGATCCTTTCTCACAGGTATGTGTATTTGCACACACCTAGGGTACTGGTGAAACCTTAGGTTAATGCTCATGCTTGGTTTAGTAAGAACAAAGAATCCACAATTTGGTCACTGACACAAGTGTGTATCAGTGTTTTCTTCATGAAGTTTATTTTAGACTTTGATGTTGCTGTTACATATAAACACTAGAAATATGACTTGCCACTACTTTTAATTAGTTTGAATTGGCTCCTAACATTGTTTTTGACTACTGATGGTGTCCATACAGATGCATTCTGGGTCATCAGAGGCTGAAGAAGAGAATGACCCTGATGGACCATTTGCCTTCAGGAGGAAAGCAGGCTGTGTTTATCACTCTGTACGTTTCTCTTCTCCTTCTATCGAGTCATCTGACTCCCACTCTCTACTCTCCACAAATCCTTTCATTTTTTTATTTCATGTTCCTTGATTGTTAGTACACATCAATTACCTGTGTCAGTATTTTTACATACAGTATATACAAATTAAAAAGTTTCCACTTTTGGTTTCTGACGTCAAACACTTGGCTCTTTCTTTAAAACACTCTCTTATTCTAACACTTAGACTCTCATGATATTTCTCTGTTGTCTTCACTGGTCATTCATTTATTCTTCTTTGTTTAACTTTAGGCTCGTTTGGATCAGAGGGGTAGCTGGCCATGGTGTAGCGAGGCTGAGGGTGGTTCATGTAATCCACAGTTCCGTTACTCTCTCACCAGCCTTTCATTGCCACGCCGCTGCCTGGGGTTGTCACGGCGACGGGTGGGACGAGGAGGCAGGTGAGTGTTGCAGACAGCAGCATATTGTAGCCTTACAGGAATGGTACACTGCAGAGTCGTTAACATTTCTCTGTTCCCATTACCCCAAACATAGTCAAGACGTCTTTGGTATTTGCTTTAATTCAGCATTGAAACTATGAGGCTAATGTAGCTAACAAGCACTAGTTTAGTGGTGCATATATGCATGTACCCACCTCTGATAAGTGATATACAATAAATACAGACAAACATGGCCAGAGATATGTTTGTGTGTTTTGTGTTTAACTGTGATTTGACCACGACCACAGAGAGCAAAGAATTCGCCCAGTCACGAGTTTTGAGTGTGCGTTTTCTGCTGGTCTTTTTTCCTGCTGCCATGCTCAACAATAAACACTAATGCAATCCTAGCAGCTATGTAATGTTATGGCAGCAGTGTAGGAATGAAATTAACATGTCAAAGCTTATTTGAGTTTATGATGGTAACGGTAACACCACAAGCTATGTTCCAGTCCAACAAATCATGTTTTGAGGTCCCTCATGGTTTTATTCTCATCTCTCTTCAATTTTTAACTTTCACATTTGATTTATGTGAATACATTGGTTTTTGATTATAGTCTCTTACAGCGTTTTATGCTGACATCCTTTTTTTCGCACAAGACTTGGAGTATATGGGGGGAAATGGAAATTACTATTACTTTTATGTTAGTTTTGTAGCTCCTTGTAGTCCTTTTTTTGTGAACCATGCCTTCAACAGTTATACTAGTTTCTACACATGTTCCTACTTGTCTCTAGACGTCTAATGTTGGTGTTCCTTTGATGTTATGCAGAGTTCTCCTGGACCGTGCTCACTCGAATCTAGACAGCATTTTCCACAGTCTGGATTCCACTGCAGAAGAGTTGTCCCCTGCTGCTTCTCCACTTCGCCCAGAAAGCACCTCTTACAGTACCTCCACCATAGCCACTTCGTCACCAGCTTCTCCTCCCTGCTCCTCCTCTTCTTCCCTGCATCTGAGGCAGATTCTCCGCAACATTAAGGCCTGCCGCTGGAGACACTTTAAACCACGGACACTAACCGGCAGGAGTTTCTGCCAGGCTGTCACCGTTGCGGCAGGTACAGGCACTAATGCAGCAATGGGAGGATCTGCTACAGTAACGCCTGCAGCTGGTGAGTGAGCAAGTGTGCAAGCACAAACACGTACACAATAGGCATTCACATTTATTTAAGTTGAACTTGTGGCGCTTCTCCTGTAAAGGAATATTGAGAAAATCAAACGTAAGCTGAGGAGTTTAGTCTGAGATGTGGCTGTTGAAACAGTGTGTCCTGGTATGATGTTAACTGGCTGTGGGTGGTGCTATAATTGTACATTTCCTCATTTACGGAATACTCATGGGAGAGAGAGATGGATGTGTAGGCAGAAGAAATTAATTTCTGCTAATTCTCTTGTTGGGTTGTGCTGTATCTGGAGTGGCTTGGTCTGGCAACTACTACATTTTTTTATATAATTTTTTTTTATATAGATGGGTTGTGTGTTTGAGTGGAGCAGTTGCACAGATACCAGTGTGTAATCTGAGTGTGACGGCTATAGATGAAAAATGAAAGTGGACGTGGCTTAATGGCCGCAATGAAAAACACGAGTGAATCAAAGCTGCTCTTCGTTTTTAGCGTGAAACCTCATTTAACAGGCTGCTGCGAATGGACAGGAAAGCACTACTTTAGCAGGTGAAGAGGTCTTTGTGTACTTATGAAACAGTTATGCTCTCTTTCCAAAGATGTCCTTTGTTGGTTACATGCTCCATCGGTAGGGCTGAAAGATTGATCCATTTTATATTGAAATTTAAAGGAGTGCAGTTTTTAATTAAAGATTACATTATCTATAAAGTTGTTTTAAGTGGGAGAATTTAACCTAATAATACACAGCTAAAGACCTGCATGGACTAAATTACCAAAAATAGTTGCACCTAAATTTAGGCTGTGGGTGGTGCACAGCGGCAATATTAGTCAGAAAAATCACGGTTAGATATTTTTCATGCATGGTTCAGCCCTATCAGCACTGCTTTCTTACCTTACCCCTCATTCACAATTGTGCTCATTTTACTCAGTTGAGTTCCTACAGCGTTTAAGAAGTGAAGTTGTTGTCCAGATTCTGGCAGCATTTCCAAACACTCTGTCTGAATGTCGCTCATGTAGAGCAAGTGTATTCTTTCATTAAGGTCTTTCATTAGGTTAGACAAGCTTTGTAGAATTTTGGCAGAAGTCACATTCAACATAAGGGTTTATCTTGTCTACTGGTTGAAATTCTTAAGGTGTGTGTTTTGTCGTAACATTTTATACCAGTATGCCACAATGAAACATGCCGTCCAAAATACTCAAAGGTTGCTTTGCTCAGCATGACCATCTTGGACATGTGAGACAGATTACTTGAGAAATTTAGACGTGCCATTTTTACTATTTTACATAATGATGTTTTAAATTCATGTCTGCTGTTGAACATAGTTCTTATTAAATGAATTAAAAAGCCACTGGTTAGATAATTATCGTGGCTAAAAAATTGTTAGTACATGCCTAGTTTGTTCCTTGTCAGTTTATCTGTAGTAATCACATGCAGATGCTGTAGCCTAGTCTGTTGAAAAGGTCCTCTGGTACTACTGTTAGTGATTTTGCCAGCATCAGCGCGATTTTGCTTACTTAAGACTCTGTGTCCTTCGGTGATCAACAAATTGACTGGCAAGAAGTTTTTGTTTTTATAAAGAGATCCCTCGTTGACACTTGCTGCCATTTAAAAGCTGTATTTGAATGAGAGGGCTACAGTGACTATCATGGCAGCGGTGTGTAAACAGCTGAACTTCAGAGTTAAACTATGGTGTTTGAGTCAGACTAAGGCGTTAAAAGTGAGTACATACATACATACATGCATGCATGCTATACCGTGATGTGCAATGAAAATGTCAGAAATGTTGATACCATGACGTATGTTTTTGGCCCACTTCTAAGCTGGACTGTGTTGTAGGGCACTGAAACTAGGCAGGTTTAAAACAGCATGCTAACAGTAACTTGATTACATGACAAAAAATACAATAAAATAAACACTACATAATCAGGCTTAGGTGGGAGGCTGAAGGCTAGCATGTGCTTCCTCCGAAATGTTTGAAGTCAACCACTGCTTCTTTTTGAGTTCCCCCTTTTGAAACCTGATTGGGCAGCTCTGCACGTTTGGAGGAGAATGCTAACTGCCAGTTCTGTTAGATCAGGAACGTGTGTTGAATAGAATCACACTGAGTGATCAGAAGAAAGGGTGGATGCCCAGATAGCAAGGCCGGCCTTCTCTTTGGTCTCCCAGACCAAGCTCATAATGTCTTGTCAATGGGGGCCAGTACTGTGTTTTGACAAACTGAGTGCACTAACATTTCTCATTTAATGTAATGGAATTTTTGCCTACATGCTGTAAAGCTTGTCCAACCTCACAGCATTTGCAATGACTCTATTGGTGTCAAACCCATTGGTGTACTAATAATGAATTGTATTCGGGAATATGATGAAGGTGAAGTAAAGGATGCAAGAGTGTGCAAGTATTTTACATGGGACTTCAGACTCTCTTGGTTTTTGATACTCTCCTAGAGTAGTTTCTTGACACCTGCAGCTATTGAGCATTTTGTGCACTAATTAAAATGAGACTGCAGGCATTTCAGAGACATGCAGTAATTTTTGTATAGCATTCTTCAGCCCTATTTGAGTGGGATTAGTTTTACCAGAGGAGGTCTGGTAACGTAGTAAGTGTATGAATTGACTGGCCGATTTGTACGGGATAAAGGATCTCTGTAATTTCCCCAAATTACCCCCAGATAGCCTGGATCAAAAACATCCGTGCGCTGTTACCTCAGCATTATGCGACAGGCACCACACTTCCAAACAATAACATGTGCAGCTAACTGGCATATAGACTAGCATTAGGCTAACAAAGTGGGTTTATTCAACTTAGCAAATGGCACCCAACTTTATAGATATTTAATTTTCCTTCTCCTTGTAATTCAGCCTTTACCAAAATGTGGATTTCAGTAGCCTGAAAACTTGAGGATTGAGTCAAATTGGGTTCCATTTTAGCTGATAGTCTTGTCTTCAGGTCACAAAAAAAAAGAATAAAGGGGTCTCTGTTTTCTGCAAAGCTTCTTATTCGCTTCTTGTTTGAATTGTTTTGTTTTAAGGTGGAAAATTAGAACAAGAAGCTGGCTGATGGGAAACCCACTTTAGCCACGTCCGTTTTTTTGACCTGGTTTTGTTACATTACTGATGTCAATTCGAGCAGGACTATTACTACTAAGGAGCTCCAGCCTTCTAAAAACTACAGACATGGTAGATTCATACTGGATTAAAATCACAGACCTCGACAGTGATCGCTCAAATTACGGCACATCCCCGAATAACTCTAATCCTGCTCGAATACGGCTTTGTCTGTAATATGTTTGTGCCACATACTGATGAACGGTGCTTGTTTGTTTCAGTGTTCACGGCGGAACAGTACCAGGAGCATCAGGAACAGCTGGTTCTCATGCAGAAGCAACAGCTGGAGCAGATCCAACAGCAGGCCAGTGATGCCTCCAGCAGTACACAGGTGTGTGAGGAAAAGAAAGGCAGTCTCCTGTTTAGTTATGTTTTGTGTGCGTGTTCATGGTTGACCTTTTTTTTTCCCCCACCATTTCTAGCCTCTAGTGTCTAAGACGTTGGATTCAGCCAGCGCTCAGTTTGCTGCCTCTGCTCTTGTCACACCTGACCAGCTGTTGACTCTGAAAGTCAAAGAGGATGGTGTTACGGGAAGTGGAGTGAACGGCATCCTCCAGGCCTCAGGTTTGTAGTCTTACCAGACATTTTGGGAAAGATGGTCTGTTAAATGAAAAGTGATCTCTGATGCCTGCTTTTGTTTGCTGCTTGTTTTTAGTCTTATTTGTTCTTGTTCTATGTTACTGTCTTCCAGGAGTTTACAAGGGCTTACAACTCTCTGCTACACCATCAGCTTCGATCCTCCCAAGCTCATCTCCAGTGATGACCTCTCCCTCACCTAGCTTACCCCCTTCTAATAGTAACTCGACCACAGGCTCTGTCCACAATGCACACAACCCACTCAGTAACCATGGTAACAGTACTGCCAACGCGGCCCCTCAGGTTCTGATTGGGAACAGTCTGCGTCTGAGTGTGGCGACGCCCCAGATTGCCAGCCTCAATGCCCGCCACCTTCCCAGAAGTCTTGGCGGCGTGCCACCCGCTGCCTTAAAACTTGCAGCCGCTGCTTCGAACTGTCAGCTCCCCAAAGTCAGCACTGGGTGAGTACAGGCATCTGCTCAGTTTCTCTTACTGTTTTTGTAGTGCATTTTTATTTTAGCCAGTAGAACATCAGCAAGTCAGTAAACTGGCACAGCAGTGGGATGAGAAACGTTTTGTCCGTTTTAAGATAAGTGCTCACTGTGCCTTTACCTTTATTTACAGGGACAATCATGAACAGGAAAAGCAGTCCCTCAGTATAGCGGAAAACACAGTCGCTATGGAGGTGACGTAGTAACCGTTGTCTGGGCGACTTTTTCCCCCGCCCAGTCCAGTCTTTTGGTGCTGTGCACCAATCGCTTTTGGAAATGCAAAGGGACAGCAGGTCTCCGCAGCAACTGTCAGGCCTCGACAGCTAATCTCATCTCTTTATTATAACTTTTTCTTTCTCCCCCACCCTGTTTTTTTTAATATATATTCGTTACTGTTAATAAGAGAAAATAATTCCTATGTAAATTATGAATATGGCAAATATTCAATGTACAGTAACTGCCTATTTGTAAAACTCCCTGCTCCACCCCCCAAAACCTTGTATATATGTTACTTGAAAACAGATTTGTTCACTTGTGATGTTTTGCACTTGGGAATTACAAAAAGAAAAAAGCAAAAGGAGAATGGAGGAAGAAAAGAATGCAGAGAGAAAGTGTGAGCTGTGTAGCGGAAGAAAGGGTTTAGGAATCATTGCATTGTGCATGGTGAGGAAACCTGCTGTTTTACCTATTTATTGTGCTGTGTTTACACTTTTTTCTTTTTCCTTTCTCCATGAACACTGTACTCTCATTTGTTTCCATGTTGTAGGTGTTTGGGTAGCTAGAGTTTTTTTTTGTTTTTTTTTCCTTTGTTTTTTTTGTTTGTTTGTTTTTTGTTTTTTTGTGTCAGACCCTTCAATCTCTAGTTCCGCTGGTTCTCTTCGCAAATCAAATAGATGCTACAGAACTTCTGATTTTGTTTTCCCCAGTTATTCCTTTTTGTTTTTTTTCTTGTTTGTTTGTTTTGGTGGGAGCGGGGGAGTATGTGGTTTTTGGGTCACTCAAAGGCTTTGGGAATGGTGGGTGAAGAGGAGTGTGTGGAAATCTTCCATTTAACTAATCATCCCAAAACAAGTGACAGACAAGTCATGAAGTCTTCACTCGGGAGCATCTGTGGCTTCCATCTCAACTAAGCACTGTTTATTTTTGTTTATTTTTTGGTTTGTTTTTTGTTTTGTTGACTTAAGTAATGATTATCGCTGCTTTTGTATAATTTCAGTTCCTTTTCATACTATGAAATGTTTTGCCTCCCATTGTAGTTTTTTGTACAACAAAGACAATTATTTTTGTATCTTGTTTTGTTGGTTTTTGTTTTCAGTTCTTGTGGTGAAGCGAATTTGCGCTTCGCGTAATGGAAGACTTTGTTTTTTGGTCGTCAGTGTAACGTTCTCTGATAAGTGAATGCTGATGACTGTCCATTATTGCTGTGACCGTGTCGTAATTTCAGCTTCGAGACACGCAAGAGAGAAGGAACAGGAGTCGTCACCTGGCTCCAGTCTCAATCTCTGTCTCTTACCACGTCATCTGACAGACTCCAGACTTTTTCAAGGCCTAAAACCACAAGTTAAAAGGTGTGCCTTCCTTTGGGAATAAACTGCTTCGTCTCTTCTATGAAGAGGATGGCTCTCGGGCAAGGCTGCAGTAGTGCGGTCCTGGCTTGTCCGGAGCCCAGGTCTCCGATGCCCAGTCCACTGGCTGAACTGAACACCCTCCAGGGCTCTAGTCCAACCTGGTGGCAGACAAAGAATTAAAATATTGAAAATTTAAAAAAGATAAAATATTATTGAAAATGAGTGGGGGGAAAAAAAAAAGATGTCACCCATAGAAATCTGACAATAAAGCCCAGGTTATTAAGTGATATGAAGTGTCCTGTGATTTGTTGAGTCAAACTAAACTGTGGGTAAGTGGGTGTTTGAGAGGATGAATGGCGAATGACTTGCTTTTACATCTAATGATGTCTCATAATATGTAGAAAAATACTTTTTCAGATGCACACTATCAAATATGTGGAAATATGGTTGTTCACAAGGTAACTGCTGAATGGCAGTTCATATTCCCACTTCTATTAAGCAATATTTGTATTTTACCTTTTCATTCTTTAAACCGTGAGGGCTTTGTAGCTTTACAACATGATCTGGAGCTGATTAACTTTTAAATCAGTTAATTCCAGAAGTGTCAAAATCTGTCCAGACTGCAGAGATCCAGTTTGAAGTGAGCATTTCATTCATTCATTCATTCATTCATTTTATTTATTTAAAGCTGGCTTACCTGACTCGTAAATACTCCGTACAGAATAAATGCTGATAGTAAATTAAGCTGGGCAGGGATCCATACTGCCTCATGTCAAGAGAGCAGTGTACTAGTCACTAACTGCTGTCATAAAAGAAGCTGTCTGCAAAATAGCAGCTTCTCAGAAGCGGAGGTAAAAACTTTGTCTAATTATAAAACTCTGAGGTGTTTATGGAGCTGAGCTGTAAAATGCCTGGAAGGTAGGAATAGAAGACTAAACTTTGAATTTATGCAAAAAATAAATAAATAAATCTTGTGAAGGGTGTGGAATGAAAGTGGAAGCAGATTTCGTACAAAACAATCAAAAAGTCTGTGACACGTTTAGATCACCCATACTAAAGAGTGCTTTACTGGGGGAGATGCAGCATTTGCCACTCATTTAGATTTAAAAACTTGCAAAACCTCACCCATCCTGTAATTAAGAGAAGTGATAGCAGTAGGCTCTTCTTCTTTCCCCCTCACCTGCAGATTGTTTGGTTTAGTTCCGTGGTGAAAAAGTCATACACTAGTTTCGACGTCTTCAAAAGAAATGTTTTAATCTTGTTTCATTACAAGACTCGGATAAAGCCTGGTCCTAACTAGGCCTTAGACACTGGCCGGTCCCAGGGTGGCACTGTAGTGTGTGTTCACACAGATGAGCCTTGATAACCTCTCTAAATAGTATTTGTCCAGTCGTACAGTAACTAGACCCAGACATCTCTGACGAGAACCAGCTACAGAGTACAGGAATGTTGTGAGTGGGGAACCTCGAAAAGCTAGTAAACTTTGACCCTTTTCCTAACCCGAGGACGCAGTAAGAGAAGTGAGAGGCCTGGATTAAACAGTGTAGTATTATTACCAATTAAATCTAAAGGGCATGTGGCTAAAATGTCCTAAAGTGTGTTAACTCACTGAATTTAGTGAGTCCGTCAGCTCACACACAACACAATCCCTGTGAGCTGTAAAGTGGGTGGACGGCAGTGGCCGCTATTAGCGAACACGGGAATTATTTAGTAATTGGTAAATATAGCGATTTTCACAGTACAAGTTGCCAGATGCTGTTCCAGAATAAAATCAGAAAACAGGAGCCCTATATACACGGGATTGTTGTGGATTTCAGTAGTCTTGTCATAAATTTGAGGATTGGTGAACTGGGTTAAATCAAGCTTCATTTAGCTGTTAGCCTTGTCTTCAGGTCGTAAAGAAAAATGGAGGTGCTGTTTTTTAGTCCTCGGTTCTGTTATTAACGTTACATTACTGAGGAGCCCAAACGATTTCAGTCCGGAATTATTAACGGTACCCAGCGGAACTGTACAGACTACATGGCAAATCCATACTGAATTAAAATTACAGCTCTCATCAGTAATCAATCAGATTACAGTACCTCAACAAGAAAAACTAATCCAGCACGAATATGGCTATAGTTGTCACCGGTCACGTTTTGCCTAGGCGATCTTTAGCTTTTATTAGTGACTGTAGAAACGAGTGAGAGAGCCACATTTCAGTTCTCCTGTTAACTTGTCCTCACCACACGGATGTGGTCAGTCCTACGTTACACAAGCGGCCACTCGGTGCAGAAGTGGCGGAGGCAGCGAGGAGCGGGTTACACGAACGGAGCACGGCCCCCCTCAGCAGGTTAGCCTCAGCGAACTAAAGGGCTGACCGTGCAAACGCAAAATGTTTTTTAAAAACTCTGAGCATTACGTGTGATTAGGTTCTCTGTCCGGCTATAAACATGGAGAACTGTGCTGTAGTGCCTTTCTTTTTGTTCTTGTTAGCCATGTAGCGTTTAGCATGCTAACGAGCCAGCTAGCAGAGGATGGCGTTGTATCGGTCGTCCTGCATAACAGATGGTGTAGTTTATAAACTAAAGCCCAATAAATGGAATCTTATTCTGAAATGTTAAACATTTTAAAGCAGTTTATTGCTGTAGCTTATAAACAGCTTTATCCGCCATTATTTTGAAAAGAGAAACGCATCAGCTCGCAATGATTCCTGGGCACGTTCTGCTACTGAAGTCGACACTGGTGTTTATTCGCTTCCTCGCCCCTCAGAGGGGTCATCTAACACCCTTCACCTCAGCTGATACATTAATCGAACAGCCCCTAAGACGGCGCTGGGAATTTTCCCGAGGGGTAATGATGAGTCAAGGTTGATGAGGGTCTGTTAGAAGTGGTATCTGGTATTAATGTACTGGAGGCAGAGTTTGAAACGTATGTGCTCTGCGTCATCACTACTGGATTCAGTTCGCACCAATCAGAATTACTTCTGCCGTTGCCGCTCTTGGGTCACTGAAATGGGCAGTGACGTTGGCTGCGCCCAGAAACTTTTGCCACTAGTCCTGTCCTCCCCCTCCCTTCTACTGCTTCTCTCCTACCCCAGAAGAACGTGGAGGGATTAAAGAGAGGAGCAGGAGGAATGGAGAGAACGAGCAGAAACTGGAGATGGGACAGCTGACTGCTTTCAATGTCATTAAAGTTGATGCTACTGATGAGCTGAGCGTATCACATTTCCTCGAAAGCAGACCCCAATACAGCTACTCAGAGCCCGCTCATTCACATATGTGTGATTTTCTACTTTGAATCTTTTTATTTTATTTTACACCAAGTACAAAGTACACAACACAAAGAATATATAAACACAAATATAACACAGAATTTGAAGTATAGTTAAACTGCTCCGTGTCTGGGCGTGTCTGCAGTGATGTCACTAAAATCTGTAGAAGTCTTTACTGGGTAGCATTTACACTTGTGCCTCCTTCGCTCTTGTCATCTCCAGTAGTCGGACAGCCAGTAAGTTGGCATCACGAAAACGGTTTCCGGGGCACTGAGGAGAGAAGAAGGATCGGTAGGAAAAAGCAGAAACTTTTAGGGGTTTCTGGACGCTCCATAATAAAGCTCTGCAGGGACTTGGTTTCTACTCTCTCATAGGGTTGTACTACATATTTGGGAACTATTTAGTTTAGTAAATGATGGCAGAAGACTAAATTCGGACACTTTCTCTTCAAACTGCGTCAGTATTCAGCAGACTCATAAACAAACCAAGGTTCAAGTTGAAGTCTAGTTCTTATTAGCAGTAGACATGAGCGTAACGTTTTGAAAAGTGCAGGGGACGAAAACCGACAGGGAAAAATATAAAACCTGACTAGGATACACGTTTAATTCTTGATCCATGATTGCAGTGATGTACAGCAGTGATGTTGCTGTGTGATGGTGCTATATGAAGCTAAGTATACCGATTACCTGTGTATGACTCACATCACACACGTCATTTACTTTTTATATATACAGGTTACTTATGTTTATTAATGGTGTGGTTGCTGACAGTAGCAACAGGGTGAATTCTGAATCCAACAGAAGCATCTTAACTGTTCAGATTAAGCCAATTATAAATTTGGTGGATGCACGTCACATTGCAACAACTGGGGCAACAAAATGGGCCATGCTGCTGTGGGGATATTAGGGGGTGTGGCCATGCAAAGTGGCTCTTGGGATGTGCCACACTCCCAGTGTAAAAAGGACACAATACTACGAGAGCACGTATAGAGCCAAATAAGTGGGATGATCTTGATTGGCAGTCCGTACCTGAATCGAAGCCCACTGAGCACTTATTTCACTTTATGAAGACTAAACCAAAAAATCCCCAAAACAAGCCGAAACAAAAAATTGTTTGCATTACAGGCCTGGGAGAGCGTCACCTTAGAACAGGGGTTGGCAGCCCAAATGTTAAGCCATTTTGTCTTTTCAACAAAAATCAAACCACCTTGGGAGCCACAACAATGTCCATTTTACCATCTTGCCTGTAAATGTCTCAGTATGTGCTGATGTACTAGTTTAGACAGAAAAATATAATATAAACGAAAAGGCAGACTTACATTGCTCTGCTTAAACTTTAGCTCAGCTATAGCTGCTTTTCTCATGTCTTGTTTAAATGTTCCTGTTCCACCTTAAATGGTGCCTGAGGTGCTAGAATGTAACTGCTGCACCATTTAAGCTGGGACGGGACAATTCTAGCAAGACACTGGTGAACAAGAAGCTGACTTCAGCTTTGTGATTTTTTAGTGTTCCTCTCCAAATTGTTCGTCTTAAATCTTTTTCTTTGCTTTTTTTTGTTAGCTACTAGCTAGGCGAGATTCTTGTCTGCCTTGCTATGGTATGGTCTGCGCACCAATCTTCAGGGTTAAAGGGTTAATTAGCAGTTCTATGTTAACTCCAGTGTTAAAGATCATTTATTGTTAAAACTGTGTTAGAGCAACCACGAGAGCTTTATTTTACTGCAAAGGAGGATTCATTTATTTTTACCTAAAAATCTAATTCTCCTGTGGAGCCGCAGCCGGGAGGCAAAGAGCCACATGTGGCCGATCCCTGCCGTAGAAGATGTGACCCTCAGACTTAAAGTATTTGTAATGGCTTGATAAAAATGTACCAAAACAAGAGTTCTCTTAATTGTTAATTGGTATTGTCCACTGAAAAGGATTAAAAATGTACTAAACATCTGTGTCACAGTAAAATTACTAATAGACTGAACTGCATGTACATTGTAAATATTAAATTCTTAATGACCCTGATTTTGATATTAAGATTTGATTTA